ATCACTGGTTTGACTTTCTTTTTTTGGTAAAAAAGTACATAAAAACAACTGAAGCAAAAGCAATTTGAACATGACAGTTTGTATAAGTATTTTATATAGTTTTAAGATGCATCATTAAAATAAATATAAGAAAAAGATTTAAACTGTAAATCAATGAAACAAGTTTGATTTAAAATGGGATTCAGCTGACAATGTTCATTCACTGCCAATGCATCAGACCCAACAGTTTGGCATGAAATGATTGCATTATACACATTTTTACATTTGCATGCACTTTCAAGAAAAGATTAAAATTTGCTTACATACTAATTTTAGTAGTTAAAATTTCACTATTTTCATACATTTTCAGTGTAAAACTAGGACAGTTTGGAATACCTAATGAATGGTTAATGTAATCCACCACAAAAAAATCTTATTACTAATATGGGAGTTGATAAAAAAACTGCATATTTGAATTCAAAAAACCATATTTACCTGTTCCTCTTCCGTAAGTGGTATGTAAGCTAAGGGGTCTTGAGCCTTGTCCACCATGATCAAGGGGTATTGTTTTAAATCCTCAGGTACTTTGCATGAAGGCACAAACAGTGCCAACATCTCTTCTCGGCCATAACGATGTTCTGCTAGCTTAAATTTCCCAAAACCAGGAGAGGAGGGCGGAGTAGCCACATTGGTTCCCTCACGCAGCCTGTAAAAAAGTTTTATGAAAAACTTAAGAAATCATCAAGTAATCAGTTTTGATTAAGAAACAAGATTTTTTTTTTACCTTAGAAAAATTTTTATGCAACTTTTTATATATTCTTTTATATTTAGCGTCTGAGCCATTTAATTTTGCCTAAATTTTCAGAAAGTTAATGAAGGGATTCATGGAATATTTGCACTTTTAATGTAGAGAATATTTCACACAATATCTGTCAATATTAGTAGACTACATGTGACTTTTATATAAGAGTTACATGTAGTCTACTAATATTTATACATGTCTTACAATATTTTCCAAGTTTCAAATTAATATTCAGATTAATGAAACTCCAAGAACAAATATAATGCAGTAAAAAATTACAGAATGCAAAAAAGTTTTCAAAGACAAAAAGTTTTCAAAGACAAAAGATTGAAAACATTGTCACTGTGATGACAAAAAAATAATAAAGGCTACATTAATGTGAAATCTATGCTCCAAGTTTTGAACCTCATTTCAGAACTTGTTTACGCATTGATTTTGTCATATTTTTATTCTATTTCTTCATATGAAAAGACAAACTGTACAGCATCCAGAATAGCAATCCAATCTTTGCTAGTAAATTGTTGTCCAACAATGTAAACCTCTCTTCATAATACACTTAAAGTTTTCAATCAGTTAGCATCATATGAATAAGCAAGCCATTTCAAACAAGTGTCTGAAACTCATTTTACACAAATATTCATTAATTTTTTCCATGAGATTAAATAGAGAATTGTTATGCACAAGTCATTTTCTTTCTGAAAGTGTTAGACTGCTCCTTAAAACATGACTCATACAAGTATTCCTAGGATTTTTCATTTGGTTATGTTTCTACATTGGAGAGAGAGAAGCTTCAAGGGAAAACAATAGTATACTCACTTCTTTATGGCATACATTTATTTTTTTTAAACCTATTTTAAGAAAAGTCATGGAAGTCTTTCACGAGTACTCTTTCTTTCTTATGGATGCACATAATGCTACACACACACACACATATATATATATATATATATATATATATATATACACACTGACAAGTTTAAAATATCATCACAAATTGAAAGAAACCAAATTTCAAGGAAAATATTTGCTATCAGCTGATAATATTATAAACAATCAGGTTTTATTTCTTCATCACCAGTTATATAAATATGAATTAATTACATCATGGGTCACAGAAAAATTAATGTTATAAAAACTTTAGAACTTGAAAAAAAAAAAAAAAAAAAAAAAAAAAAAAGAAAAAAAAAAAAAAAAAAAAAAAAAAAAAAAAAAAAAGAAGAAAAAAAAGAAGAAAAAAAAGAAGAAAAAAAAGAAGAAAAAAAAAAAAAGAAGAAAAGAAAAGAAGAAGAAAAGAAAAGAAAAAGAAAAGAAAAGAAAAGAAAAAAAAATTCATTTTTTTTTTATGATTATTAAAATACTACTTAAAAGCAACATCATAAAACAATTTATTTTGGTCAAAACCATATCAGTTAAGAGCAAAATATACAGACCATTCAGGACCAAACTTCATTGTTTCTGCCATTTTTCTTGCTCCTGGAAAAGAAAAAGCTAAAAATTATATCAAACCATTTTTGAAAAAATTTTTATTGGTTGATTTAATTACTTCTGGCATTAAGATAAAAGAACTTAAGCAACATATCACAAAGCCGTGGAAGAAAAACAAAACAAAATCCATTTGAGTAAAGATGTTCTGGGTATGATTTTTTTCAAAAAGAAAACCAAATGAGAAATCTCAGAAGGGAGAATAGTTATACTTGAAAAATCATTTCTACAAAAGACTAAAAGAATAATAAATTGTTTTCAATTTATAAAAGATTAAGAAAATTCTATCAGAAGAAAGCTAATTTTTAAAATTCTTTGCCAAATATATTTTTCAGTCATCTTCTATTTTGATTTTAGTTGTAACACAAAACCAAAAAATATTTCCAAACAAACAAGATTTGTAACAGAGAGTAATACGGGACCTCACCAGGCAGGAAGTTATTTACAAGCTAGTTTTGCAGTTCATTACAACTGTAGAGAGTAGTTATGTTCAATTGGTACCTCTCCACTTGAGCACTTATGTCTCCATCATAGCAGTGTTTTTTTGTTTTTTTTTTTTTGTTGAGGCAAGACTGGGATTCATCCTGCACAAAGCAAGGTGGGTCCTGCCTGACAGAGGGTTTCAGATTACCTTTACATACAACCATCAACATACTGAGATTTGTCATAATTTGAGGCAAGGTTTTATAAGGACGGGTGCTCTTCATGACAGCCACTCATGGTAGTCCAAGTACACCAAGTGATTTTTATCAAGGCAGCATCTCTGGAAGGTTTCCATTCTTTTTAACAAGATCCCATCCTCTCTTTTCTCATATATATATATATATATATATATATATATATATATATATATAGTAAGAACTATGGTAATCTGTATAAGTAATTCCAAGGAGGATGAAATCCTGAGAGCTCAATGTAAATCCAGAGCTAATATTTAAAAGAAAAACAGACCACTTTAAGGTACCATTATAATTTATTTCACCAGAGCCCTTTTAAACTTTTAAAAAATGAAATTAAAATTGATGGGTAGTGTAAGTTTTTGTAATTTAACAGAGAGTGTAAAAGGGGTAGTTATATCCTTTTAATTTCATTTTTCGTTTCATGTTACCAGTAGCAAGCCTGAGCTGATAGATATATAGAAGGGTAAGCATATCTCCAATCTACACAGCTGAAAATGAATATAATAAAAAGCCACACAATTTCATTCCTAACTTCTACCATAATTTGAGGAAATCAGTTCAAAAATTTAACTCTTAAAAGTTCTTTTTATATTGTTGTAGAAATGATAACTAGACCAAAGTAATCTAGGACCCTGTTAAAAATTATATATTTACTTCCTCTAAAATAGTCATACAAGCATAAAAAAAATTATAGCAAAAGATGTAATTGAAATTTGGCAAACAATGAACACTACATTTTTATCTTGTTTGTTCAATCTGTTACTAATTCAACATATGTTAACCACATGTTTTGAAGAAATGGAATATTTAGAAGATCAAACTTTCCATCTTAGACCTGGAGATAAAGCCTTCTGTTAAAAATTCCAGAAGGGTGCAAGTGAAAAACAAAAATATATATGTGAGAGAGAGAGAGAAAAAAACAAAAATTAGAGAGAGAGAAAAAAAACAAAAAAAGAGAAAAAAAAAACAAAAGAGAGAGAAAAAAAAAACAAAGAGAGAGAGAAAAAAAAAAAAATTAGAGAGAGAGAGAAAAAAAAAAAAAGAGAGAGAGAGAGAGAAAAAAACAAAAAGAGAGAGAGAGAGAAAAAAGAGAGAGAGAGAAAAAACAAAAGAGAGAGAGAGAGAAAAAACAAAAAAGAGAAAAAAAAACAAAGAGAGAGAAAAAAAAAAAAATTAGAGAGAGAAAAAAAAAAAAACAAAGAGAGAAAAAAAAAAAAAAAAAGAACAAAAAAAAAGAGAGAGAGAAAAAACAAAAATTAGAGAGAGAGAAGAAAAAAAACAAAAAAAAAGAGAGAGAGAAAAAACAAAAAACGAGAGAGAGAGAGAGAGAGAAAAAAAAAAAGAGAGAGAAGGAAAAAAAACAAAAATTAGAGAGAGAGAAAAAAAAAACAAAAATTAGAGAAAAAAGAAAAAAAAGAAAAAAAAAACAAAAAGAGAGAGAAAAACAAAAATTAGAGAGAGAAAAAAAAGAAAAAAATTAGAGAGAAAGAAAAAAAAAAAAATTAGAGAGAAAAAAAAAAAAAAAAATTAGAGAGAGAGAAAAAACAAAAATTAGAGAGAGAGAAAAAAACAAAAATTAGAGAGAGAAAAAAAACAAAAATTAGAGAGAGAGAAAAAAAACAAAATTAGAGAGAGAGAGAAAAAAACAACAAAAATTAGAGAGAGAGAAAAAAACAAAAAATTAGAGAGAGAGAAAAAAACAAAATTAGAGAGAGAAAAAAGAAAAAGAGAGAGAGAAAAAAAAAAAAATTAAGAAAAGAGAGAGAGAAAAAAACAAAAATTAGAGAGAGAGAGAGAGAGAGAGAAAAAACAACAAAAATTAGAGAGAGAGAGAAAAAACAACAAAAATTAGAGAGAGAGAGAAAAAACAACAAAAATTAGAGAGAGAGAGAAAAAAAACAAAAATTAGAGAGAGAGAGAAAAAACAACAAAAATTAGAGAGAGAGAGAAAAAAAAACAAAAGAGAGAGAAAAAAAAAACAAAAATTAGAGAGAGAGAGAAAAAAACAAAAAGAGAGAGAGAGAAAAAAAAAAAATTAGAGAGAGAGAAAAAAAAAAAATTAGAAAAGAGAGAAAAAAAAAAAATTAGAGAGAGAAAAAAAAACAAAAATTAGAGAGAGAAAAAAAACAAAAAATTAGAGAGAAAAAAAACAAAATTAGAAGAGAGTGAAAAAAAACCAAAAATTAGAGAGAGAAAAAAAAAAAAATTAGAAAAAGATGAAAGAAAAAACAAAAAAGAGAGTGAAAAAAAAAAAAATTAGAGAGAGAGAAAAAAACAAAAATTAGAGAGAGAGAGAAAAAAAAAAAAAATTAGAGAGAGAAAAACAAAAATTAGAGAGAGTGAGAAAAAAAAACAAAAATTAGAGAGAGTGAGAAAAAAAAACAAAAATTAGAGAGAGTGAGATGGAAAAAAACAAAAATTAGAGAGAGAGAAAAAACAAAAAAGAGACCAAAAAAAATTAGAGAGAAAAAAAAAAATTAGAGAGAGAGAAAAGGAAAACAAAAATTAGAGAGAGTGAAAAACAAAAATTAGAGAGAGAGAAAAACAAAAATTAGAGAGAGAGTGAAAAACAAAAATTAGAGAGAGAGAGTGAAAAACAAAAATTAGAGAGAGAGAGTGAAAAACAAAAATTAGAGAGAGAGAGTGAAAAACAAAAATTAGAGAGAGAGTGAAAAACAAAA